AGATTGCCGAAGTCAGCCGAATCGTGTCTTTTTCGTTGCGTACCCTTAATCGTTACAGAAATTTTCTCCCCATTAAAACAAAGATCACTCTCGTTACGTCCCTTGTTCTACCTCTCATTGATTATGCCGATGTCTGTTATCCTGATTTAAATGCAGATTTTCTCAATAAATTGGACCGCCTTATGAATAATGCTATACGTTTCATCTTTTGCCTCCGCAAATTCGACCATGTTTCTTTATATCGATCCCAACTAAAATGGCTTCCTATTCGCCAGCGTAGGCAGTTAAGATTACTCTGCACTCTTTTTTCCATTATTTCCAACCCTCATTCTCCAGAGTACTTGAAATGCAAGTTTCAGTATCTCTGTGATAGTCACGATCGTCCTCTCCGCTCTGCTGATTCATTAGCTCTCTATATTCCTCTTTCTCACTCAGGCTATATGTCCAACTCCTTTACTATTCAAGCTATACGACTGTGGAATGGCCTTCCCGACTCCATCAGAAGATCTCCTAGTAAACTTATATTTAAGAGGAATGTTCACGCTCATCTGTTGCAAAACTTAATATGAAGTGTCATTTTAGTAATCATCATCTTGTGTATATATGTGTATACTGTATATATTTAAATATTAGTGTGTTTTGTTTGTATGTATTATATTATTTTTATAGTATGTATTTATATTTGTATCTATGTTAATTTGTATATGCATTCGTATTTAGCTTTATACCGCCGTTCGTGTTTTTCATTTTTCCCAAAGGTTGACTGGGAGAGAATGCTTTTAGCATTAAGTCCGCCTTTTGAACCAATGTTATATATTTATATTTTGGTCAATAAAGTTTAAAAATAAATAAATAAATTACGTGTGCCCTTACTGATGAGATTGGAATGAGGAATATAGTATTCCATACCCATTACAATCTCCTCAGTAATAGCAACGGCGCAGGCTGATAGGTCCTTGTCACTGAAGCAGCGCTGCTTCCAAGGAACGGACGCAAAGTAGTCACGCATACCGTCCCAATCTGCCGACCCATAATGCCAAATCCGGCGTTTTACCACCGTTGAACGTGGAGGCTTGGCCTGTGGCGCTTTGGCAGATATCAGGCAGTGATCTGAAGAGCCCAGGGGGGCTCCTACCACAACCTGATAGCCCTGTGGATGGGTCGTGAGCAGAAGGTCCAGTAATGAAGGCGCTTGACTTGAAACATCTGGAATCCTGGTGGGCTGATCGACCAGTTGTTTCAAGTCCTGCGTGAGAGCGAACGCGTGAGCAGAGATCCCTGCATGTTCAGTTTTCGAAGAACTTAACCACAAATTGTGGTGAGCATTAAAGTCCCCCAAAAACACCAATTCTGCATTGGGAAATTGCTCCTGCGCGTCATCTGCTGCCCGACTAAGATGTTCGAAAAGTCGAGTTGTCTCAACATCGCCAGTGTGGGATCTGTAGAGGCACACGTAGACTCTGGCCTGGGGACCAGAATCGACGTGTACCTCCAACATGGAGAAGGAGGGATCTTCCAAGCAGCGAAGACGGCGACAACAAACATCCGCCCGAACATACAGGCATACACCGGCTTTCGCTTTGAAGGACTCTTCAAGCACGTAGCCGGGATAATTAAGGTAGCCTGTGTCAGCAGACGGAAGTATTTGTGTCTCCGTCAGGAACAACAATGCTGGCCGTGCTGTCTCAAGATGGTGGTGGACAGCATTGAGGTTAGAGTGGAGTCCGCGTATGTTGCAGAACTCGACCTCAAACAGCGTTGAAGGCGTGGGGGTGTGCACCGCTGTACGTCCAAACTTTGTTTTGAGAGCTGCCATTATGGAAGTGATAAAGAGACGTGAAACGAGTGGACGTTGTCGCGACAAGACCGGGCAAATTAGGGAGGCATGTTTCCCCGAATAATTGCCTGCAGAGGATATACGCCGACCCGCCGGACGGAAGTGGCCGCCGGGACCCCACGCCCCGGTCACCAACCGGCACGACCGTCCACCCCGAGATTATGCGTGACGTGATGGGGCAGCCTCGCGAACTGGTTAGGAACGCTCGGGCCCCTGTACTGTGCCACGGGCGGCCAGCGGGACAACCGTTTCTACGGGTCTCCCTGGCCGGCGGGTCGATGTAGTCCTCCCGGTATCGGTTCGACGGATGCCTCGCCCTGGACCGAATCCGTCGCGACAACCTACACTCGAGCCCTGGTTGTACGCTGGCTGACCCCGAAACGCGCGAGAAGCACTTCACGGGTTTTTCACCATGCGCACGGTGGTAACAAACCAGGCGGGTGTTAGGCACCCTACCACCAGCAGAGCGGATGGAAGCTCCGATATCCCTTAGTCGCCTCTTACGACACCCACGGGAAGAGAAGGGGCGGTGAGTTGTATTCTTTCTCCGTCACCCCACGGATAGTCAGTTGTTTATTATAAGAGGAAGAATAAAATGAAATATTTTCTCGTCTTTGCTGGTTCATATAATTTTGATTCTGTACATTATACAGCTCATTGTATTTTTGAACCAATGCAATTAAAGTATTATCGTCTATTAACACAAAATAAACTTTTTCAATTGCACACGCACAATGCACATCCTCCAGTTCCGGTTTGGCTCGCGCCGTGGATGCGAATGACGTCATCAGCGCTGCGCTACCCGCAGCGTCCGCTGCGTGCTGGCCGGCGTTGGTGACGTCATCAGCTGCGGCTTGGGGAATTCGGTCGTTTCAGGGATTGCGGCGACTGCGACGCGGATGGATGTGCGAGGTTGCATAGAACTTCATATAAAGAATTCGAATGGGAAGACTGCGGTGCGGCCAAGTCTGCGTTCACCTTAATTTAAGAGAGCCATGCCAGAATCGACACCATTATCTATCTAATTCTGCAATTTCATTGTTACTAGGCCGCCTTGTTTGAAACATTAAAGGCAGTTTATTTTCTCGTTCAAGAAACGTACATAAGTTATACATTCCGTGTAAATAAAAGGGATGCATGGTGGAGAGAGCTCTCGTCAGCATCGGCAGTGTGAACAGCCAGCGATTAACTATTGATATTTGCATCGCTTCTGTTTACATGGAATTTATGTCCGTTTTACGTTTCTTGAGCGACAAAATAGCCGACAGTTAGTCGCTTCCTCGTCAGCGGTCAGACAACTGCCTAAACCTATGTAAAACAAGAACAAAATCTTTGTCGATTTTATTAGCAAGCACTTGTAAGATTGCAAAAGATTACGATTTATGCCATGTTGGAAGATTAAAAAAGAACTTTGACAAGGCTCAGGAAAATGCAGTTGTAATAATTAAGCTCAAGTATAATTCTAAGAGTTTGTTAGTGGTGTCGATTCCTGATCTATGAATCAATTACATTAACGAAAGGATATTTTACGTCAAATTCTCCATTTTATATTTTCTGGTCTCTGCAACAACTGACCTTATAAAAAAAAACAGTATACGAAATGAACCGTGACTTGAGCGTTCAAAAAACTATCTTTAGCAAATGTTACCTATAGAATAGGTGATCTGACCACCTTGAAATGAATTAATGAATATTTCTAACACAAAAATTAGCCTAACACCAAAGTAAGCACAATAAGGGCAACGGATACAATACATATACAAGTAAATACATAAAAACATTAATGACTTGCAAATGCTTTTAATTATCATACAAACATTGGCACCATCGGGATTCGAATCCGGGCTTTCTCTGAATAGGATTTGAATGAGGCCGGTGTACATACGAGCGATGCGCGACTTCGAATAATACTAATACTAATCATTCGACTCCACGAATCATTCGATTGAGTCGACTGCGCTTTATATCATTCGACTAAGTCGACTGCGCTTTATATCATTCGACTAAGTCGACTGCGCTTTATATCATTCGACTGAAGTTGAAGGCATCTGGCGGTGCGCGTCGCACGCAGCGACATTTGACATTAGTATTACTAATATTAGTAGTCGTTATTCGAATAATGACATTAGTATACTACTAATTTGCCTTTCGAAATTCGAATACCCAAATTAGTAGTTACGAATTAGTCGAAATGTAAAATCATTCGAAGTCGCGCATCGCTAGTATTTACCAGTCATGCCACGGAGGTCTTCCCTGAAGCTATACCTACTTGGAATTGTTCAACACTTTCATTCTTTGCACAGCACAGAACAATTTTTATTCCAGCAACGATAACATTAAAGGACTAACGACATGTCCATTACTTGGTTCAGTTTTTTACAACAAATCTATATATATATAATAAAACTCAAAGGTGACTGACTGACATAGTGACCTATCAACGCACAGCTCAAACCACTGGACGGATCGGGCTGAAATTTGGCACGCAGGTAGATGTTATGACGTAGGCATCCGCTAAGAAAGGATTTTGATCAATTCTACCCCGAAGCGAAGCGAGGGCGGGTCACTAGTCACACAATATAATTGTAACTTGTAGAACTTTATAAACATGTTTTGTTAAACGATAGATTAGTCATATAAAAATCGTTTAAAAGTTAATCATTTAAAATACATTCAGTCGTATAAAATGCTAAGATAAGACCGAATTACTTATTGGATGAGCCACCATTCTCGTTTCGGGAAGAAAAACAAGAAAACCTCCCTAATAATGCCGCGCGCCGCTTTTGCTGGGAACAAATTGGATTTCGGCTAAACAAACCGTTAGAAGCTCATTCACCGTAGTGTTTTTAATGGGGACTTCCCCCCAAGCTTACCGAAAAATCGTTTAAATAGAAATTGCGTCTCTTTAAGAACTTATCGAAAAAGAAAATGTATACTGAAAGTTTTCTATTTTTAACCCTTGTTATCATTATCCCTGTGTTTTGTTCAAAAGGACTATGAATCATCTTTGGATATCGCAGATTTATTCTTTCGGGACGGAGGAACCATGCCAACTAACAGAAACAAAGATCGACTCAAAATCCTTTTGAAACAGCCCACAATCCTACCGAATAGTAATCACCACAAGGAAATGATACTAATGATCATTTCTGTTTGTTGTCAGGTTCCGAAGTTCCGTTTGGGGGTCGCGACGCGGGACATCGCTAAGCAAATGAACAGTGAACTACCAGAAGGATACGCAACCACACTACCCACGAACATGCATACGAGACCCCACAAAAGATAGGTATTTCTAAATTGCAGTGAAAAGAAAAAGTCAAGATGGCGGAAGGACCACAGACGATATGGCAAAAGATCGACGGCACCGTCATCCCCGTGGTGAACCTCGAGGTTCGGGAGGTTCGCGAGGTCCTATGGGAGAAGATCAAGGAACCGAGATCCCAAAGAAAAATTATCCTGGTCATAGTGTCCATAGCCCTGCTTCTGGACAATATGTTGTACATGGTTATTGTGCCGATAATTCCAGACTATTTGAGGTATATAGGCGCATGGGGAGAAGAGGCTTACGACCATGTTGTTACCTTACCACCCATCAGGGAAGGCAATCGAACCATTATTCCGACCAAAATTATTCCCGCGACACACGAGGGCCAGGAGTCAGCCACGGGGGTACTGTTCGCGTCTAAAGCAATAGTGCAGCTTATGATCAACCCATTCTCTGGTGCCTTAATTGATCGAATCGGGTATGATATACCCATGATGATTGGACTCGTCATAATGTTTCTCTCGACTTCTGTATTCGCGTGCGGCCGGAGTTACAGTATGCTATTCTTCGCCAGGAGCTTACAAGGTGTAGGCTCTGCCTTCGCGGACACCTCGGGTCTCGCCATGATAGCTGACAGATTCACAGAAGAAGCTGAGAGATCTAAGGCCCTTGGTATTGCTCTTGCGTTTATCAGTTTTGGGTGCCTCGTAGCGCCTCCTTTTGGTGGTGCTCTATACCAGTTCGCTGGCAAAGAAGTGCCGTTCTTGATTCTTGCTTTAATATCCCTAATAGATGGGTTCATGTTGCTACTAGTGATGAAACCTTTGAAGACTCAGATATATGAGTACAATCAACCAAAAACAGCTGGAACGCCGATTTGGAAATTGCTTATGGATCCATACATTGCAGTGTGTGCTGGAGCGTTGATGATGTCGAACGTCGCATTAGCGTTTCTTGAACCAACGATATCTTTGTGGATGGAAGATAATTTAACCAAAGATAACTGGAAAATTGGTATGATATGGCTCCCAGCATTCTTCCCGCATGTGCTTGGTGTTATAATAACAGTGAAGATGGCTAAAAAATATCCTCAGCATCAATGGCTGATGGCAGCTGGTGGGCTCGCTCTGGAGGGTCTATGTTGCTTCATTATACCATTTGCAAATTCCTACAAGATGCTCATGATTCCTATCTGTGGAATATGTTTCGGTATCGCCTTAATCGATACAGCACTGCTCCCGACGCTTGGTTATCTGGTGGATGTGCGATATGTCTCTGTGTACGGCAGTATCTACGCTATCGCCGATATATCATACTCATTCGCGTACGCCGTGGGACCTATCATTGCCGGAGAAGTAGTGGAAGCAATTGGTTTCACTGCCTTGAATCTCCTTATCGCTTTCAGCAATCTGCTCTACGCGCCTGTGCTCATGTACTTGAGGCACATTTACGATTTCAAACCTTTCGAGAACGAAGCTAATATTTTGATGGGAGATCCTCCTGATAAGGAATACCAAACTTACAGTCTGCAGGATCAGAGGCCTGTGAATGGCGAATATAAGAACCATTTGGAGTACTCTAACGTTTCTGGGCAAGTGGGTACGGAAGAGTCGAACGTTGACACGAATACAAGTTACTCTTACGATCAGTCGTATCAAGGAGGGTATCAGAATTATGGGCAAGGCTATGAGCAGCAACAGCAGCAGCCACAACAGCAACAACAGGGGTACCAGCAAGAGTATCAGCAACAACAGGGATACAGTCAGCCTCGGCAGTTGCCTGCTCAGCCGCAGCCGCCGGCAAGTAACCCCTTCAGAGCGGCGGCATCGGCCGCTCCCGCGCCCGCCGACGTCGCCGCTCCGCCTGCCGCCGCACCCGCCGGCCCCACAATCAAGAACCCCTTCCGGCAAGGCTTTTAGAGCGCTCCTATTTCGGTGTTGTTGTCTATATTTTTGAATTTACTTGTTGTGTAATTATAAATATCTTAAATTTGGATACTACTTCGATCACTGAGCTGCGTTACATCGGCGGCGAGTTATTTAGTGTCTGATAGATGTCTAATACCTAGTTGTGCTTGTAATTATGGTATTTGTAGAATATCTCTATGGCTATTCTTGAAATGGTTATTCATTAGTCACGGTTGAGCGATTGTATCAGAAAATGGATACCATTATGAGAAAAGCCATGCTGTTTTTCCTGTTGATATTGTATTGTTCAGATGTAACTTATTACAACTGTTGATTATGCCTTCTTAAAATATAATAATTATGACGACTTTTCCGAACAAATATGAACCAACAATATATCGCTTGACCAAAGAATTGTCGGAGAGTAATCATAAGAATAAATAAATTATTATATCCGAGATGTGAAAAATCAGTGAAAAGGAAAGTGTGATAAAATGTGACACGTTTAATATGAAATTTTCAAAATAATCTTTCTCTAATTTTGGAATAATAATTAACACTGATTTTGCACATTGCATTAATATGTCATAGTGATGACGAAATAATTAAAATGAAATTTATGTAAAGTAGACATTATAATGAACAAGTATATTATTACTTTTCATGTATGCTCATCAGCACTACAACGGCTACGAAGGCACAAATATCATCATTAAAAAAGCCTAAGATAAAGTACTTTGTGATCTTTTGGCACTTTACTTTAAAAAGTTAACATAAGTACCTACATATTATATTATTATTTGTTAAGGTCAAAGAGATTTAGATAATATGCATTTCTTATTATTGTTTAACGTCTTTGGTTCAGACCTTTAAATAAGATTAATATGATATAATAAGCATTGCATTTATAAATGTAACAATGTCTGTCATTTATTAAAGTAACATTGTTACTATATCATATGATGTATGTACATAATCCTGTTTATTTCTCTATGTGACGACAGCCTGTCAGTGTACCTGTGAATATGTTTGTACACTAAGGTGTCTGTCCTTATATTTTTAGATAATTAATTTTAATTAGGGATAATCAATCCTTCCTCTGCTATTTCAGCAATATTAGTCTAAGTCATTGTCGCTTTGGAATGGATACTCAACATTATATCAATTAATATATCAATTAGTGATAGGTTAGGCAACCAACTTGTGATAAAGTTGCAACCAAGGTAACGAAACATATCAGAATCTTTTGATTCACTTAGGCTAAGTGTATGTATAGTCATAGGTCCGTTTGTCTAGTTGTACAGAATCGTATTGTCGTTTTACTAAACTCGTAGTTACTATACGGTAAGCGGTTATAAACCATCAGATACGCACTACAATGAGGTCGTTTGGCAAAGATAGCCATAAAACCTAGCAATTATAAGTAAAAAACTATTTTGTTTATTATTTTTGGGATCTTATTATAATTGTAAAAGAATGATATCGTTTATAGAACAAGTTGTTTAAGCATGAGAAGCACAAAATAAAATCAAACCAAGAAGTTAATAATTTTGCGGTTTATTTGAATTAAACAACGTATTAATTATTATACCTACTCTCTCGCTAAACGACCTCTGAAATCTATTTAATTTGCAGACGAAAAGAATCTAAAGCAGAGTTGAAATAAAAAAAACGTAATATCTAAATAATTGTACAAGAAAAAGTGACGAGCCCGAAATGTCAATTGAGAGTGTATAAAGATAAATGTGAATAATATTCGTAATGGTAAACTATATATCGAGAGTGCTTCGATTCGATTCAACTCAGTTGCCTTTGTTCCCGACGATTCGTGCGCTGAACCACACAATGCATCGTACCGACTATAACGATTCTATTAATAGAACATAGCCTGCAAAAGTACAATAGCAATTGTAGATTTCATCATCCATTGCACAAATTTCTTGTGAGCACAAAATAAAATTAGTAATATCGAATTATTTATATTTTATGAATAGATACGTAACTGGTAAGTAACGGAGAAACGTAACCATCGTCATGTTGTCACGAGAGAGTTTCTCTCCTAACCATCATTGTTAGGAGAGAAAGTGTAATAATCTCTCCTGATGGTCACTTAAAGCTGTTCTTAAGTGACCATCAGGAGAGATTATAGCTCTTGAAACTAAAGTTGTAAACGTATCTATATATAAAATATAAGTGTTCGAAATAATTTCTTAGGGAGGTAACTGATTCCTAATATTTAATTCTGGAATACAAGAATTAGAATTCATCCTAAAATGATATTGTAATCAAGCGATCTCTCTTTAACTATAATGTAAGTTAGAGTCAATTTTCGTGTCAAATTCTCCCGAAATTCAATTAATTAGTAGTCAGCACAGAGTTATATGAGTATATAATATATATATAAACTTTATCAATTTATATTTAAGTAGCAATCGCTTCGTGTATTTTGAATGGATTGGTTTAAATTAAAATGATAAATTACCAAAGTAATTGTATAAATATTAATAATAATTACATTAATTAAAACATCGTTAATCAAAATTATTTCAATGACTAATAATGATTTTTTCTTATGAAATCAATTAACATTGAATAGAAATCACAGAGGTTTATTTTTTTTAAATGAACGAAGAATGAAGTGAACATTGGTTAGTATATATTATTTTTGGTCTACGAAAACATGTCATGCTAAAAGTAGCGTTTTAAAATACACGATAGCTATAAAAATTATGTTGTGAAATTACAAGAACGCACTTACTGAATTAATGTAATTATGTGTGTTTACTTATATAACTAATTTTATACATATTTATTGTGTGATGTAATTTTATCAGCAATAATGCGACCGATATCACATACATATCACTAGGGTTAAGGAATATACAATTTTGCGATACATATATTTATATATTGTGCGTCTTTCAATATTGTATGAAAGATGATGTTGTGGTAGATTTGCACCATTTATAATCGGAAACGTATTTTTTTATAATGACATATACTTTCGTTCGTGATACTGATTTACTAGAACTTTATGGATAATGATCAATTGTTAGTAATCAATTATTTTATTAAGTGACGGGATGGGAAATGGAATGACATGTAATGATAGAATACTATTTATATCTTTTTTTATGGTTTTTCGAAACAATAATTTACCCTCTCTTAGTTTTTTTAATAGATTTATCCTTTGATGATAGTTTAAACTAGGCTTTAATAATTGCCTTTTCCTATATATTTAGGTATTAAAGTTCATTAATGACCTTTGAATAATGTTCAATGTAGTGTTGGAAGGACGTAATGCAGTAAGAGTTATTTTGTTTGTTTTTCCTCCTAAATTGATAAATGATGTGTATATGTTGATGGACGATTTTATTAAAAACAGATGAGTTGTTGAACAAGGGCTGTTTTTAAGACTCATTTTAGGTAAGTATATATTTATTTGTATTTTAGTGTGAATGTATTTCTATCAATTATTTATTTCACTATGTTTCCTGCAGCTATTGCGGTCATCGGTGGTAATTAATTGTATAAATTAGAGTCTATTTTCTTTATTTAGTGGGTGATTGTGTCAAAAAGTTTGAGGGAATTATTTATCTTCATCTAATTATGATCAATAATTAATATAATTGACAAAATTACATTAAAATTTAACTGCAAACTTTAATTAAGAATAATAATTTCAAGATATTTTCAGCTAAAATTCAATGTAATATAAACATTTGTCATGAAAAACCACAACAGAAACATGCTATTCTATTAAAAGTTAAAAAATTTCATTGTAATTGTGATATTGTATATTTTATAATGATGTCATAGAAGTATTTGCTTATACCTAATTATTGATAAAGATTCGCTTAGCTTTCATATTATGTATTGACGTATTCAAATATCATATATTTTCAAAATTAGTAGGAATGTAAAGTTTTCAGTTAAATTTTGTCATTTAGATCAATACCCGTCCGTAGCTACGTGTTTCAATTTAACTTACATAGAGTAAAATCATTTAAATAATTTTCACATCATTTCACCGGTCGTTCATTCTAATATAATGTACTTCATGTTAGTTCGTACTAGTAAAATCATTGATAACTTATAACATTTATGTATGTACATAGTTCATTTAACATACATATCCCAATTTGCACCAACTTACACTTGGCGACATTTCGTATAGAAATGCCTAAATTAACTTTATTACGTAACATAATAAAGAAATTTTGGGTTTGTACCGACATAGAAGTCATGAAATATTTAAAATATTAGAGAACTCCCGATAAGAGAATGAACAAAGAATGAAACATAGGCAAGTAAATTTCTATAATACGCAAAAATAAAGAAAATATTTTAGGCATTCCCAAAGTTACGCGCTCCATATTCGGTGTCGTAAATTTAGGATTGACACCGCGTGTTAGGATCATCTTAAAGTTTGGTGCAAACCAATTTGACTCTTAGGGTGTCACCTTAAATATTTTAGACCGAATTTAGGAAGCTCCTAAATTTGGTGCAAATGGTCATTAGACTGCACTCATTATATGACTTTTTTTTTGTCATGCGCATGTAATTAGATAGCGTGTATCATGCGCTTGTAATTAGATAGCGTGTATCATGTGCATGTAATTAGATAGCGTGTATCATGCACTTGTAATTAGATAGCGTGTATCATGCGCATGTAATTAGATATCTTCGCTAAAGTGACAGCAATGTCTTCATTTCTAATTGCGTACTACTTAGGTACTTCACGCTTAGTAGGAAGATTTTGTATATATTACAAATGTTATGGTCCCGCAAAAAAGCCACGGTTTTCCTTGAGAATGAAATAATATGTATTTGCATTAAATATCCATTAGCTAAGTACATATAGTACGAACATTATTGCTGTAAATAGCATCGACATTGCTTGTCAGTTTTATATTAACTTATTTAGAAATAGGATACACTGTTAGTTTAGTTTAGTAATAATTAGTTTAGAGTCGATATTATCATACGGATGTACATATATACCGACAGACGCCCACACAAATATGAGTGATAGTCAGAGTTTAGGTATTATTGATAATATAATACTTAATAAGTTTCCTGTTTTACTTAAAGCGCCTAATTATTCGTATTAAGAGGAAAATCTTAGATATATCAATCAACTTTGAAATATTCATTTATTGATTTCTGATTTCGTTGAACACAAAGATGTAGTGCATTTTTAAAATAAAAATAAGATTTAACTTATCTTCGTTTAATGTATCAAAATTAATAGCTATGTGCTGTAAGACATTCGATATAATAATGTTTGTCATACTTAAATATAAAAAAATAATATTCCGTAGTATTTCCTGTCCAAATATGTTTGCATTAAAATATGACTAAATACCTCGATCGATTTAAAATAAATTATTTAAATAGTGATTATTGCGTAGCAAAAAAATATTTTGTGATTGGATCAGCTTTCAACGGATGCGGCAGTAGCAGCTTCTTAATGTATGTAATTAAAACGATAATCGTAGTTTAGATTAACTTTAATACTTAAATGTCATTTCACCAAGCTATCTTATCAATGACTAAATGAACGTAAATGTTTATTGTTGAATTTCAAAATTATGAGGTGTTGGGTAGCACCTATTTTTTATTTCATCCTGTTTACAATAATTCGTATATTTTATGTAGTCATATATAATTGAAATTAATTATATTTTTTTCATATAATAAATGTATAATTATGATTTTATTTATTTTTTAAGCATTTAACTGCTAGATGTTTAAATCTAAAGAAAAGTTTACTAGAAAAAAAATCCACGCGGACCAGGCAGCGGACGGGACTCGAACCCGCATCCTTAGCTATCCGGGCGAATGCACAAAAATAAATAAAATCATAACTATAATTGCTATTTCTTCTTTCAAATGTTTAATACTTGAAAAAGTATTCATTTGACATTGTGGGTTACCTACAATGCGAAGAGATGGCGCTGCCTTGCAGCTTAAGGCTAGGAAAATTTCGACGCGGCTAATAGGGCCGTGGTAGCATAATGGTCAGTGCATTCGCCCGGATAGCGAAGGATGCGGCTTCGAGTCCCGTCCGCTGCCTGGTCCGCGTGGATTTTTTTTCTAGTAAACTTTTCTTTAAATGTATAATTGTCAAAAACTAATTCTAATTTTAACAATATCACAAAAATGCTTAAAATTATCGTACATTTTGGTGCTTGGTGGAATAACTAGGTTTATAAATTAATATCACTTTTAACTTAATGATAATTATCACTATATATATACCCATACAAGTAGAAATTGTATCTGTTAATATATAGGTGCATCACTGGTTATAATAAGTAGTAATAATTCAAACCATTATATCTGCAAAGTTGTTTGTCGTTTTGCATTTTATCAAGAATTATTCTTGAAGAAGCTCCGAAATATAATCGTATTTATAGGGGCATTTATTGTAAAATGTTTTATGACAAACATCTATAGAAATGGTTAGCATAGTCAGTGGTAACACAGTAATTCTCTTGTTGAACTGTTTTTATTTGTATTACATAATTGTGTTATAGTGTACTGGACGTTATGGCTTTTGAATAGCTACATAATTATGTAAAAACTATGGTTAAATGTTAGAAAATTTAAGGGTGAAAAAAATATCTCGGTGAAAAATTGAAAATGAAAAGACAGCTGATTGAAAAACTGAGAATGTAGATTGAATGGGGGTCATAATTTTTGTTGTAGAATTGCGTCCGAGATATATTTTTCCCGTTGAAACCGTGTATCTACTTAGTAAGAGGTAACGAAATTATCAAATTATAATCTTATAACCGAATATATTCTATTAATAGTTGTACGTAAAGTGGTCAAATTTAATCAGTGATCGAATAAAATTGTTACACCAAACTATATGTTTTTTTTTTATGTGAAACCTTTAAGACACCTCTATTTAATGGCATGGATGTTTTATACAAAACAAACATTTATATTTTTTATTATTGTCTGGATTTTAAATAGCATAAAAATTTTAAAAAAAATGTTCTACTACACTTATGTCTAAGTCGCTGAACCGATTTTGATGAATTTTTGGTAAACCATTGTCTCATCTAACTATCAGGTTGCAGATGAAGGGGAACTTGGGAAAAAATAAAAGCATATAT